GACTGGTTCCTTTAAAGTAAGACACCCTGTATATCCTCAAAGGGGTCATAGGCGTTCACTTGGAGAGTACAAGGAAAATATTGAAAATTTATAGAAGTTATTAACAGAAAATCGAACTTCAACTTTGTTTATAAGTATTATTTTGAAATGGTCCCATGTTTGATTGGTAACCTATTGGAATACTTAAGCAGTGGGAAAGAAAAATTACCAACTTAACTTCAAATTATGAAAATTCAAAGGGACAACCTTGTTTTCTGTCATTATCATGTAGGTAGACGGTTTTGTAAAGAATTACAAGCATGCGTCAAATTGTGACTTAGTTTGAAGCTTCTTTAACAAAATGTACACCAATATCGAATATGCGGATATGCTATTAACAACACAGCGGAACCTTGAAGAACTTACGCCAACAAAGGGCTAGAGACAGTGGACGATTGGTTCCAGGAATTGGGGCAGATAGTGGACGACCAAGAGGTGTTTGCGTTCCTGGCATAGAGGAATAGATATTGGAGATAATTGCAGCTGAGCCCTCCCGAAGTAATCGGAGTATTGCACAACAACTGGCACTTTCCGAGGCAATTGGACACCGAATAATTAACGAGAAAGGACATGCAAGCCTACCATGTATGTAAGAAGCATAGGTCACAAGCAGACATATTAAATCTCTGGTTTACCGAACATCGATTCAAATTGAGCACAATTTAATTAACTCAATACGAGAAGCTACTCAAGAAGAGTGCAGAATACTGTGATTACTAGGGCACAAACTTGTTTGAAGTTAGTTAAACACAGGAATGTATGTAAGTGTGCATGTATTTTTGTAAACACATCAAAATAAGGTTATGATGTTGACCTTCACTTAGAACTTGTATTGATTGATAGTTTCTGATAGCCCGACATTAATTGGTCCAGGCAAATGCAATAAAAATTACGAAAACGCTCAATTTTACGCTTTTAACGTATACGTAAATATATGCAGGGTAATTCATTGGTAAGTGCACATACTTTTCCTGCAGATGTAGGTTACGTAGCCGAATGGGATACAATGCATGCATGGCAGGACCGAACAAATGAGTTTCAATGTCAAAAACAACACTGGATCCAAATTTATAAAAAATATGTGCTGAGATTTGAAACGATCACCAATCCATATTTTATCTGATGTTTGGCCTGTAAGTACGTTTTTAAAATGCGACGAATGGGTTCCAATATTATTTTAATTAAATTGCATTAAACATACCATTTGCAACATATAGCTGCTTGCAAATAACTGAATTTATGCAAAATGGTTTATACTGAGAAAGTTAGCAACTAGGAAGAAATACGAAATCCAACCGTTAAAATTTAGCTGAAAAGAACTAGGATATGTAATAATTAAAACGCTGATCATTATGAACATTTGTAGACGTGAATTCAAATGCAATTGGGAGAACAGAGCAGGCCGATGTTACTGGTTTCTTTTCGGGGATGCAAACCCTTTGCAGGTAAAAATGGCTCCAAGTTGGGTTGCCAAGTGTACAAAATCTTTAGCCTACGTTGCCAACATGACAGAATTATATTTTAAACAGACATAAACGGTGTCTCTCAGAAATTATCCAATTTTCGAGAAAGAATTTACCTGAATAGTTAAGTTGGAAAATGTACCTTATATTGTAAAATATTCCCTTTCATTAACATACTTAACTTACTTTCGTTCAATTCACAGACCAAATTGTATTTTTTACACTTATCAAGTAGGCCCAGCCTAAGAGAGAAATAAACGAAATACTAACTTTAACACCCTGTATGTTAATAAGTAAGAAGACACTAAAGGGGAATGACATGTTCCCGGCTAAGTGACCCATATAATTTTGCAGGAAAAATACGTACACTTACTAATTACTCACCCTGTATGTATTTATTCACCACAAAGAAGAGAATTATTGATTCGATTATTTCCTAATATACTTATACTTACATAGGTACAAGTACTTCTACATATTTCAGTAAGTAATAGTTATTTTTTCTAACTAAAGGTACAATACAGTTTTAAACAATTAAATAAATTTTAAACTAACTAGTGTCTTGGTACTATTTTTTCAGCGTCATGTTTGAAGTAAACAAACATTTTTAGAGTCACACAGTTTCTAATCTGTCGAGTAAGGTATGTTATTAATTTTGCTCAGTTCTCCACTTTGTTTTTCACTCTCTATCTATTTTTGCGCGTTTGTCAGATATTTTAATTACGTTAGTTTGTTCATCTAGCATTTGTTTGGAGAAGAGCAGTACATTTTTATTATAGATTGTACATTTTTTATAGCTTCTAAGTTGGATGTAACAGACTGAGACAATTTCTAATAAATATGGGTTTGTCACTAAAACACTTTTCGTCTATCGTGTCGGGGAAAGAGTGCAAGTTTTCTTCTTCGGATAAATGGGCAGATTTGTACTGGGTGGTCCCAAGAAATGTAAATCGTTATAGATTAAAGCCAAAAGATTTCAATGTCTCTTTTCGAGTAAACGAGGTGGGGCAAAAAAAATTTAAGCGGTAAGTATATGTTAAAGCCAAAAGAGTTCAATGCCTCTTCTTCAAATAAATGGGTAGATGGTCGTTATTATCTATTTTTCAGAAATTCTAGACAATGATGCTTTCTTGCAACGCAAACAGATCCAGTAACAAAAGCAACTGTGTGTCGTAACATACGGAGTTATTGTAATGCAAATATTTCATAGCGACTTGAAAAGAGCAGGCCTTATGCAAGTGGAACTTAAAAATAGGTACTGTTTCCGGACAAAAAAATGAAAACAAAATGTAGGTTTCTATTCATTCCAATGCATTTAATACAAGAAAAAAAATAATAACTCAGTTTGAAGCTACTGAATTGTCGAAACATATCTTTGAAACTATAGGTGAATGATCTTTTGTACTCGGAATAGGGTGGGACAAACAATTTTAAATCGTTATAGGCTGAAGGTGTTACGGATTCTGAGAAATGGTCAGCGACATGAACGACAACAATTCTAAGAACAAAAGTAAATGTAAGTACCGTCTGTGCGGATTTTCTGTAATTCAACTATTTCATAAATATACCTATTGTTATAACTATTGACTTGTGATTCTGGACAAAAATAGCTGATAGTGATCAAACATAATAAAAGAAAATAATCAGTCAATGGTAAGTCTTTGCACTACCGAAACACTTCTTCGAGTATGATGTTTTGTACATAATAGCTGTAGGGTCGGTCAAAAGTGCACGAATTTTGCTCGCCAGACAAACTGCTGTAATAATAAAAGCAAAACAAACATGTAAAATTTCTACTTATCTAATTCACACAATAGGACAAGAAATAATAGCTTTATGTAAGGAAATGAATATGTATTTTCTTCAGAAAAATATTCGGGCAAAAATTTGCGATCTTTCTTCTTGCTAGTATGTAAAAACCTAATAAAAGGGCCAAATTTAGTCTAGCTGAATCTTATAAATTGGCATAACACATACTGTCGAGCTATACTCAGTATCTCTATTTCGACAAAGTACTTAGCATCGAATATCGTTAACCTTTGTGTAGGTACTAGACAGAGGCATGCTCAAGCTTTGGAATAGTCTGTCTTTACGCATTTCCGCTGCAATACAGGTAGGTATATTGAGATCAATTAATTCGTAAGCTCTAGTACTTCGGTCTGGAAGATTCAATACAATTGGTCGAATGAGTCACGTCTCCAACGATCAGAACTCAATACGCAATTTAGGGTACTAAGTAAAGTACCTAGTAGCAGTTAAAACATGAAGATTTTTGCGCAAAAACCACGCCTCTTTTTATTTTACCGCAGATGGCAAGTCGCAAGCAAAATACGCGATTTTTAGTCAGTAGAGCAAAATACGTATTTTAACAAAGTTAAGCATTTACTAGTGCATATAAAAATAAGTCATTTTAAGCCTATATTCATCCACACATAAGACTAATTAGTTTCATTGGGTTTTTCCTATGTACACGTACTTTCTCTCTTCTTTAAATCCTATATGTATTAAATATGTAATTCAGCATTTGCACCAGGCACCAAAAAGGTAATAATAAAGGCAAAAGTAACATCCACGCAAGATTTATGTACCTAGTTCAACTTTCGCATAACTTGAAAAGAAAAATGGCTTTATGTAAGCGAAACTTATAAAAATACGAATTTGAAGTCAGTAAGTTTTCTGGACAATTTGAGCAGCATTATTTCAACTTTATAGCCAAGTAAATGATCATTAGTACTGTAGGGTGAACCGAACAATGGTAAATCGTAATACCTATGCGAATGTCTTGAAAATGAATATTGACGGTTTCTTGCAAGATAAACTTTATGTAAGTGAAACTTAAAAGAATAAGTACGCATTTTTAAAAACTAGCTAGTAGGGGATCTGGGCATGAGCGTTCTTTGTGTGCGTAAATATCTAATAAAAGGGGCGCATTGAATGAGTCGAAGTAGACAGTATTTAAACCGAGTTACTAAGCTTAAAAGAACGTAAACGTTTGAAGATTAGACAGATCAAATTCGACAAAAAAACTTGTGCGTTCTTGCGAAAAATGCCTATAAAAATGACAATGTTATTTCGTGTTTGGTAACTTCTTTGTGAAATGTATGGCATGCTCTAGCCTTCGGAAGAATGTTTTTCACACATTTCCGCTCATGCCAATATACATACAGATCAATTGATTCCAAAAATTTAAGAACTTTTGGTATGGGAGAGCCGAAGTAATTGGCTTCATAACTAAGTTTGCAACTACCACAACTCAACACGCATTTACATACGCAGTTATTTAGCATGCGAAGCAGTAGATTTTTTCAAAAACATCTGATACCTATGTAAACGCCTCTTTTTGTTTAATTAAGCAATGAGCAATCAATAAATAAAACAATTGCTCGCACTTGCATACATATGCTTTAGACGGAACTTTGGCTTTTAAAACGTGAGCTTCGACTACTTGCACAAATCGAACGGAAAAACGTAGACTAGACATGATAAAATATCACTTACCTGTGATTTTGGGGTTGTCTTGGAGGGTAGGACATTTTATTAGTCTGTATTGGCCCATGATCTAACCTCATGGAACGTACTTCCATAGCATACACATTGAACACAATTTTAGCCCCAAGATCTCACATCACTAGCAAGCAAAACTGTTCACACATTCACAAATTTTGGATTGAAATCTTCTGCTGATTTTAGCAGTTTGTGGGCAGATGCCAGATGGAAAGTTGGAAGCTGGGCTAGATAGCCGCCTTCAAACTAGTTGCCTGAACACCTTTAAGCCTCCTTAGTTTGCTTTCCTTGGAAACCAACAGCAAATGTTTCAAACAATACTACTACTATCAGGCAAATTTCCAAGTGCAAAAGAACCGAAAACGTGGTAAGATATTAACCGTTATTGGTGGTTCGGAGGTAGATTAAAGCCAGAACACAATTTCACTCGTTTTTCTACGCAAAAGTCCATAGAAAACACTATTTTTCGAGTCATTAGCAGCCCAGTATAAATTTATACACGGAAAATACAAATACTACAGCCCGAAAAGCGCCATTTCGTCGACATCTTGGTTGAACTTCTACATGGAACAGGTCCGGATCGATCTATCTTCCGAAAACCAGGGGTGGTCGCTTCGTCGTGAGCGTTAGCGATCGAGCTACGCCCTGCGCACAAAGACCGTCCGGAAACGTTTCCAATATTTTACCGCTTTTCTAGCCTTAATTATAAATATTCTAAAATACTTGAAGGCAACTGAAGAAAAACACGGTGGAAAATATCACGTTATTTCCTAATAAATGAAAAACTATAGCTCAAATGGAAATGACAAGATAACAACGTATGTCTGATCGTGTTTCTTATTTTGGAACCATTGGTAAGTGTTTCATTTCAGTTCTGTTTGCAGCATGCAAGGAGTGCGACAGAGATGGAAAAAAGACTGTTATTTTAAAGGGGATATACTAGAAGGCATCGGCTTAAAATTATATTTGGGTTGTGAGTTTTAATTCTCCAGTCGATAGGGAAACAGTGCATGGGGAGGACTTGAAAAACTTTGTATAGCTCGGACCACCACGCAACTCAAAGGCAACATTTTTTGCTCTAAAGACAGTAGCTGAAAAAATATTAAAAACTAAAATTGAAACTACTATTATAATTATAAAATTAAGGATACAGTTTTGGAAGGATATTGTAATGTGAAGAAGTCTGATCACCTACCATACAAATTACTCTTCAGAAAAGTTCTCAGCCATCACATTGACGACAAGCCAATTTCAATGAATTTCAAATTGGTCTTTTTCACGTGATTATCACGTTCAGTGTTGGCTGAGCTATGTTCCAATGTTTTCTAAACGTTCGACTTTAAAATTACGCAAAATCATATTCTATAACCAATGGTAATGAAAAACCATCTTTTGTGTTAATAATGGCAAATGTTTACTGGTTAGGTATATGTATTTTCAATAGATATTAACATATAGGGGTTCTCGGACGTAAATATTGATCTAACGTCTTTGTTTCAGATATTTCATATCATATATAATCATAATCATATTCGATAGCGAATATTTCAAACTTAATCCGATTCTTTTATTACCTTACACACCATGTGATTTTCACGTCATAGTCACCTCAAATTGCTCTTTTTTCACAAAATTGGTCGTGATTATAACGTTCAGTGTTGCGGGCCGGGTTGTTCCAATATTTTCTAAACAATTCACGTTAAAATTAAGCTACTTTACAATCTATAACCAACGAGAATGAAATACCCTCATTCATGTTAATACTGACAAATGTTTCCTTTATTTTCACTCCATATTCACATCGGTGGTTCTCATAAATATTGTTCTAACGCCTTGGGTACATACATTTCAACATTTTTCAAATCAAATTATGCAATGGTTACTGTTTTTAAGCAAACCAGATTCTCTTATTGCTCTTGTTAAAATATATTGTGTTTGTGAAAAATAATTTTTATTTACTAATGCACGATTACAGTCACTGAAGCACTTGTGTGAACATCGTAAGCTGCAACCTTTACAACTGTTTCAGTTTTCAGTAAACTGAGGCATTTACGCAAAGGTCAATGAAGTGCTATTAGTGGCTATTAGGCTATTAGTGCTATTATTTATCTAAAAATGGATAACTAGCTTACAGTTCCTTCCAACAAATGGCGAATGAGAATTTTCTGTATGATAAGGCGAAGGAACATGAATCTGACGCTAGATTATTGAATTCTAAAAGAGGCGTCATATTTTTAAATTTCAGCAAAATGAGTTTTAAATTGATTTTAAAATCTTTTTCATAACTTCTGTCGACTCATGCGTGAACTTAGTTTCAAGATTTTGTGTGATCTTTGGCAATGATTTGCTGGACAGCATTGTCGATCGAGTGCATTACTAAATGCACACGATTTTAAATTATTTAAAACAATATACGTATGTGCCTGGCTTGCACAAGCCAATTAGTGCAAATAAATTGAACGAAAATTTGGCGTTTACACGCTTAGTTTGTTTTGAACAAAAGTGAGGAGCACCCAAAATAGCATTTTTTCTCAACAAGATGAAAAATTAAAACGGCTACAACAGAAATCACACTGCGGAGTCAAACGAAATAAGAAAGCAATTTAAAATATACCTTAAAAATTCTGAAAAAGTGAACTGGCAGCACGCAAGGTTTCTAATAATTAATTATTAGCCTGCATCTAGAAATATGTTATATTTTTACACATAGACTGTACTATTAGTAATATGAATAATTCATGCTTGGCTGTGTTCGCCTGGGAACTTTCGGGTTCCTAAAAAATGCAACTCATCAAAACACCACAAATGAGGTAAGTTTACATCCCCCAGAAGATATTCTGTGCTGAACACTGCGCGCATATTGGCCTTACCCTTTTTATGACGCGATTTCTCGGTCTACTGATCCACTAACGGGATTTTCAAAAAGCATTTAACCCGACAGAGGTGGATGGCTAGTTCTTCACAAGGGTGAATTCCGCTATGACTGCAGAGAACTGTGTTGTCCTCTCTGTTACGACATATATGGAGCGATAGCAGCTTATTCTGACTGGGAAGGTCATAAAAAAAAC